ACAAAATAGTAAAACTAAAAAATCGAAAAATTGAGTAACTAAAAATTGAAATATTGACAAAGGGAAACATTGAAAAATCGGACATTTGCAGCCTGAAAAATTGAACAAACGAAAATATGAAAATTGAAAATATGAAGAATCGGAAAATCGGATATTTGAAAACTGAAAAATTGGAAAATCTCAGATTCGAAAAAAGGAGAACTCAAAAATTGAAAAAACTAAAAACTTACTAAAATTCGAAAAATTAAAAAATTGAAAAATCAGCTAATTTGTAAATCGAAAAATCACCAAACTGTAAAAATGTAAAATTGAAGCATTGAAAAATTAAAAATCGAGAAAGGAAGAACCAAAAAATGAAAAAATTAAAAAGTTGAAAAACTGAAAAAATTTAAAACCGAAAAATTGTAAAATCGCTTATTTGCATATAAAAAAATTAACCAAACGAAAATTGGAAATTCTAAAAGTAGAAATTTAAAATTTACAATTCCGTAAAAAAAACATCAGAAATTGAAAAAGAAAAATGTAAACTGACAAACTGAACAACAAAAAAATCTGATAATTGTAAAACCGAAAAATTGAAAAAATTAAAAATCAAAATATTGAAAAAGTGAAACGTTTATAAATTGGACAATTGTAATCCAGAAAAATCGAACTAACGAAAATGTGAAAATTTTAAAACTCCAGGATCGAAAAATCGGTTTTTTGAAAATTGAAAAATTGGAAAATCGCAGATTCAAAAAAAGGAAAACTAAAAATTTACTAAAATTCGAAAAATCAAGAAATTGAAAAATGAAAAACCGAAATGTTGAAATATTGAAAAATTTAAAATTTTATCCCTGAGTAATCGAAAATCTGAAAAATGAAAATATTGAAGAATTGAACAATTGACAAATCGGTATTTTCAAAAATTGAAGGATCGAATAATGGAAAAATTGAAAAATTTGAAAAATGAGGAATCGATAAATTACAAAATTGTAAAATTGAACAACCCAAAAAATTAAACAATCTTGAAATTGAAAAATTAAATATTAAAAAATCAAAAAATTAAAAAAAAAAAATACAAAATCGAAACACTGAAGTGGAAACATTTCAAAATTTTAAAATAAGTTAATTGGAAAATATAATATTGAAAAATTAAAAACTTATAAAACTGTAAGATGGAAGCATTGAAAAATTAAAAACCGAGAAAGTAAACACCGAAAAAAAGAAAAATTGAAAAATCCAAAAACTGAAAAAATTAAAGATCTAAAATCGAAAAAATGAAAAAATTTTAAATCGAAATTTATAAAATTGAAGCATCAAAACATTGAAAGCTTCAAAATAGAGGAATTGACAACTTTAAAAATCGAATTGATTGAGAAATCGAAAATTTGCAAAATCCTAAAACTGAAAAATCAAAAAATGGAAATTCGAGAAATTGAAAAATCGCATAATTGCAGATCGAAAAATTGAACAAATGAAAAATGTAAATTCTGAAACTGAAAAGCGAAAAACTCAAGAAGTGAAAAATTGACAAATGGATAAATTGAAAAATCGAATAAATTTGCAGCATCGAAATATTGACAATTTAAAAACGGATGAATTGAAAAATTAAAAATCAGAATGATAATTGAAAATCTACAAGATTTAAAAAATGAAAAAATCAGAAATTGAAAAACGAAAAATTGTCAAACTGAAAAATAAAAAAATCGAAAAATCTAAAAATTACAAAATAGTAAAACTAAAAAATCGAAAAATTGAGTAACTAAAAATTGAAATATTGACAAAGGGAAACATTGAAAAATCGGACATTTGCAGTCTGAAAAATTGAACAAACGAAAATATGAAAATTGAAAATATGAAGAATCGGAAAATCGGATATTTGAAAACTGAAAAATTGAAAAATCTCAGATTCGAAAAAAGGAAAACTCAAAAATTGGAAAAACTAAAAACTTACTAAAATTCTAAAAATTAAAAAATTGAAAAATCAGCTAATTTGTAAATCGAAAAATCACCAACCTGTAAAAAGGAAACACCGAAATGTTGAAAAATCAAATAGTAATAAGTCGAAAAATTTAAAATTTTATCCCTAAATAATCGAAATTCTGAAAAATAGAAAGACTGTAGTGGAAACTAGCAAAAAAATGGAAGAATTGGAAAAGAAGAAAAATAAAATTTGAACAAATTAAATTTAAATAAAAATTTTTAAAATTTGACAACAGGAGTCGAAAAATTTAAAAATTGTAAAATTGAAAGCCAAAAAATTGAACAATCGGGAAATTGAAAAATTGAAAACTTGTAAAATTGTAACATCGAAACATGGAAAAATTAAAACTGGAGGAAATGAAAACTTGAAAATCGGTTAATTACAGAAAAATCAAAAGATTGCAGAATTGTAAAACTGATAAATCAAAACTTGAAAAATGGAAAAATTTTAAAATCGAAGCTTCTAAATTGAAAAAAGATCAATGAACCGAAAAATTAAAAATTTGATAACTGAAAAATTAAAAAGATAAAAAATGAGATAATTGCAATTGGAAAAATTGAACAAACGGAAATTTGTTAAAAACAAAAATTGAATGATCGGTAGACTGAATAGTTAATTGAATACTGAAAAATCGAAAAATTACAAAAATTACAAAATCAAAAAACTGAAAAGTCGAAAAATTAAAAAAATTTTTAAATTAAAAAATTGAAATATTGCAACAGTGCAAAAATTAAAAAACTGTAAAATTATAAAATCCAGAAATAGAAAAATTAATATTGGAGGAAATGAAAAATTAAAAATCGGATAATAATTGACAAATCGAAAAATTGAAAAAATGATTAAATTTGAAGTATCAAAACTTGAAAGATTAAAAAAACGCTAAAATCGAAAATTCTAGAATCGAAACAACGAAACAAATCAAAAATCTATAAACCGAAAAATTAAAAATCGGATAATTGAAAAGTCAAAAAAGTTAATACATAATCGAATAATTACAATTGAAAAAATTGTAAAAACTGAGGAATTAGAACATCGAGTAGCCAATAAATTAAAAATTGAAAAATGAAAAACTGGAAAATCGAAGATTAAAAACAAATTGCAAAATTGTAAAACTGAAAAATTAAAAAGTTGAACAACCTGGAAATTGAAAAATTAAATATTGAAAAATCAAAAAACTAAAAAAAAAACAATTAAAGAATTAAAAACCGAAAAATGGAAAAATTGAAAACTTGTAAATTGAGAAATTAAAATTGGAGGAAATGAAAAATTGAAAATAGGTTGATCATTATAGAAAAATCGAAAGATTGCAAAATTGCAAAATTGTAAAACTGGTAAATCAATACTTGAAAAATGGAAAAACTCTAAAAACGAAACTTCCAAATTCGAAACATTGAAAAAAATAAAAAGTCTATAGACTGGAAAATTAAAAAAATTAAAACTGGATAACCGCAACTGGAAAAATTTAACAAGCGTAAATTTGAAAATTCTTAAATTGAAAAATCGAAAAATTGAAAATTCTATAACTAAAAATTCAAATTGAGAAATCGAAAACCGCAAACTGCGAAACTGACAAACCGAGCTTTCAACTGAACTAAAAAATAAGAAAACCGAAAGCTCCATCGTGATTGGCCGCCACTGGTGCGGAAATTAACATATGCCGCTTTTCTCGTGTATGGATAAGCCGACTTCTTTTTATAGACCCGGGGAGCAATAGCATGAACGCGGAAAGTGTGTTTAGTTAATTGCTACGTGCTTTTAATTAGGAATACAGATTGAGTCAATAGTGAGAGATTGTACGACGTTTCCTAGTTGTTTAATCAACGTACACAAACGCGTCTTAAACCCACACTTTCGGCAAATAGGAGTGTTTTCGGCACACAAGGCGAGATTTTTGCGAAAACAGATAACGAACAAATATCAAGTCGTCACTATGGAACGGAAGATACCGGATGTTTTCCATAAATATATCCCTCAGCATCACTATAAACGACTCTTTAGCACTTCTGGAACTGTTGGAAGAGTTTCAAAAAATTCTTTTGATGTTTTTATTTTTTAATCAATAATAAAAAACGTTCTTTATTTATATCTTTGCAACGTTTCGAGGGTCATTGTTCTCATTTTCAAGGCTAATAAAATTAATACCAGTGTACAGATCAATTGCAAAATCATTAAATAGACGTTAATCACACGAACCAACATCGACCATAAACGCATAGGCGGGAAACAATTGCAAATAACCTCACTTTTATTGACATATAAAGATCGCCAATCTGATTTACGAAGTGTGCAATTGAAGTGACAGTTTTATTCTTTAATTAATTTTATTTTAATGGAGATATTTTCTTCGAGCTTATAAAAAGCTTCAAAATATGTTATCGTTCTCAAATTAAAATTGTGAGAATTGTTGATCCTTGAACTTTGCAAAAATTTTCTCCAATCTCTTTCGTCTCTTCAAAATCTGCAGATGTTTGTGTAAATCGGATTTTCGCCACTCTTGGCAACCTTACCAGATTTTGTGGCTGGAATTTCGGCAATGGTGTGTCAAAACGCGCACCCTACCCATTTCGCCATTTAGATTTAGGAATTTAGATCACCGCCTTGGTCCTTCCATTTTGGGCCCCCATTTGAAAAGTCGTCCGAAACAACCGAAGACCGGAAACGTCTGAACGCAGCCTCCCATGTCTATTTAAGTCTTTTATTCTTCAAGCGGTGCATCTCTCCGCTTTCGTCAGCCTCCCTCAGTCAAAATCTCGGAAGAATTTTAGCGAGCGTGGGTCGCAAACCAGAAAAACGACCTATGCATTATGCAAAAACTCTAACCCGAGTGTGGGAGCTCTTCGCCACCTGTTGGAGATGACATTCGCCAGTAAATCGGAATTCGCATGATTTACATGGCAATTATGCCTTATAAGCCGCATGAATCATGTGTGTCAATGCTGGCTGGAAGGCCCCGGCCATCTGCATCTCACCGTTTGTCTTGAAGACGCCACCGAATCAGTTCCGGTGGTACCGAAACCCGCGTACCCCGACTTACCGGTCTTTGCTCGAACATCCCCACAGACGAAGTCGCGACGAACAAACTCCAAGCACTAACAACAAATCTAGCACAGAGCGTACACCTGTTACATCCTTGAAAGTAGAACCAAGACTAAAGAAATCGGTGTGGTAGCAGCGAGACTTGCGTAGCAAGCGCTCATTGGAATCTGTATAATTTTTGAGAGAATGTTATGCAGGTAACCGGTTTCGCTAAGATTCTATTGCGTCCGTTTGTTGGTGGTTGGATTAGAGTTCATTTTTTCGGCAATGGGATGTAAACATTTGATCTGGAGGCTCTCGGGTCGCCAGTTCGCCGGCGCGAGGCGAGCGTCGGGCCCATTATGGGCATGGAGGTGCAACCTTGCAGTACCCGGTTATCATAATTCATACGTGGATTTTTTTTGCAAATTGCTGACTGTCAATGACCTTACGTCCAAGGTGATGGTCGGTGCGTGCAGATGGGTGCTTTATCTGCATGGGACACCCTTGGGCACTTCCGCGTGCAATGACAACTATCAAGTCGGGAATCAACGGTGCTTGGGATAAGGAATGCTGATTACGCAGGATGGATGCGGAAAAAATTGGTGCAGCTGAGCAGCCATGGGGTAATCCCTACTAGATTCTTATTACATCCAACAAATCAAAAAAGAACGTAATCACCAAGAGCTTTGGTACAAATTTCACCCTGTCAACTCGTCTCGTCTTGGTCTATTATTATATTCGTACTTTATTCCCCTTGGTGTTTTTTTCCACCATTTTTTCAAAATTTTAACACAGCCATGTGAGTTGTGTGAGCAGTAGCATCATCCTGCCGAAAGCTACAATTTCGGTATCATTTCCAAGTCTAAAGTCCGTGACTTAAAGCAGATGATGAGAGTCCGTTAAAATCCAAAAACTGGCGGAACTGAGAGCCAGGTCAAGACATGTCAGTCGTGGACGCCGGAAGTCCGAAATTAGAAGATGTTTATTTTATACTGAAGAGCAACCGGCTACCGTTATACTAGAAGGCGTGATTAAAACCGGAAGAATGTCTATGAACCTGAAGATAGGCAACAGAAAATTCACCTCTTGTAATGTTTCACACAAAAAAGGTTGCTTCAAAGAAATTCAGAATAGGCCCGCCCACCCACCCGGTTTTCTTTCCGATCGGTCGTTCTATTGGACAAAAAGGTGATTTTATGGTGACAAACAATGAAATCTGGACAAAAAGTTTAGAACTAATCCCACCCACGACCGCTTTTGAATTTCATTGGTTTCTTTTGATTAAGTAGATGAAGACTGAATTTTACTGTGTCAAGCGGTGAACTTGAACCCGGTTTTCTTTTGGTCACTCATTTTATTGGACAAAAAGTGCAGTGGAATGTAGACAAAAAGCTAAAACTAATTCCACCCGTCTTCGGTTTTGAATTTCATTGGCTTTTTTGATTAGGTGGAAATTGAATTTTATTTTGTCGTGTGGCCGAATCTAGCTCGTAAAATTTGAAATGGCCCCACCCACCCACCCGATTTTCATCTTGATCACTCATTTTATTGGACAAAAAGTGGATTTTATATTGATACACAGTGGAATGTAGACAAAAAGGTAACACTAACTCCACCCACCTCCGCTTTTAAATTTCATTGTTTTTTTTTTTATTAAATGAAGATTGAATTTTATTTTGTCAAGTGGTCGAGTGTACGCTTAAAAAAATCAATATTTTCCTAAAATTCGGAGTGAAATGCGAATTTTTTGGAATTTTTAAAAATTGTTTTGTTTTTGAAACGGTTTGAAAGAATCTCAGGGACCACTTTTGTTTTGTTTTTTAAGTAGTTTAAAAGAATCTCGGAAATTCCAGAGTAATTGGAAAGAATCTCAGGCGCCCCTTGTGGTTTTTTAAATAGTTTGAAAGAATTTCGAATTCACGTGATTCGTGATCTCTTGTTAATTTGAAAGAATCTCGGGGATTTCTTATCATGTGTTTGAAGTAGTTTGAATGAATCTCGGGGACCCCTTGTGGTTTTTCAAGTAGTTTGAAAGAATTTCGAATTCGCGTGATCCGTGATGTCTTGTTAATTTGAAAATATCTCGGTGATTTCTTACCATGTTTTGGAAGTAGTTTGGAAGAATCTCAGGCACCCCTTGTGATCTATTTTTGAAGTAGGCTGTAGAAATCTCAGGGACCAATTGTGGTTTGTTTTCGAAATAATTTGAAAGAATCACGGGAATCTCTTGTCATGTTTTTGAAGTCGTTTAAAAAAAATCACGGGGTTTCTTGGCATGTTTTTGAAGTCGTTTGAAAGAATCTCAGAAACCAATTGTGGTTTGTTTTCGAAATAGTTTGAAAAAATCTCTGGGATTTCTTGTCATGTTTTTAAAGTAGTTTGAAAGAATCTCAAGGACTATTTTTTTTTTCGAAATAGTTTGAAAGAATCTCGGGAATCGCTTGTCATATTCTTGAAGTAGTTTGAAAGAATCTCAGGGATCAATTGTGGTTTGTTTTCGAAATAGTTTAAAAGAATCACGGGAATCTCTTGTCATGTTTTTGAAGTAGTTTGAAAGAATCTCAGGGATCAATTGTGGTTTGTTTTCGAAATAGTTTGAAAGAATCTCGAGAATCTCTTGTCATGTTTTTGAAGTCGTTTAAAAAAATCACGGGGATTTCATGACATGTTTTTGAAGTACTTTGAAGGAATCTCAGAGACAAATTGTGGTTTGTTTTCGAAATAGTTTGAAAGAATCTAAATGACTAATTTTGTTTTTTTTTTTTCGAAATAGTTTGAAAGAATCTCGGAAATATCTTGTTGTGTTTTTAAAGTAGTTTTGTAAGAATCTCGGGGATTTCTTGCCATGTTTTTGAAGTAGTTTGAAGGAATCTCAGAGATCAATTGTGGTTTGCTTTCGAAATTATTTGAAAGAATCTCGAAAATCGTCTTGAAGTAGTTTGAAAGAATCTCGGAGATTTCTTGTGATGTTTTTGAAGTAGTTTGAAAGAATCTCCGGCACCCCTTGTGATTTATTTTTAAAGTAGGTAAGAATCTCAGGTATTAATTGCGGGTTGTTTTCAAAATAGTTTGAAAGAATCACGGGGATCTCTTTTCATGTTTTTAAAGTAGCTTGAAAGAATCTCGGGAATCTCTTTTCATGTTTTTGAAGTACACAGTTTAAAAAAATCGAAGGGATTTCTTGGCATGTTTTTTAAAGTAGTTTGAAAGAATCTCAGAGGCCAATTGTGGTTTGTTTTCGAAATAGTTTGAAAAAATCTCTGAGATTTCTTGTCATGTTTTTGAAGTAGTTTGAAAGAATCTCAGAGATCAATTGTGGTTTGTTTTCGAAATAGTTTGAAAAAATCTCTGAGATTTCTTGTCATGTTTTTGAAGTAGTTTGAAAGAATCTCAGAGGCCAATTGTGGTTTGTTTTCGAAATAGTTTGAAAAAATCTCTGAGATTTCTTGTCATGTTTTTGAAGTAGTTTGAAAGAATCTCAGGGATCAATTGTGGTTTGTTTTCGAAATAGTTTAAAAGAATCTCCGGAATCTCTTGTCATGTTCTTGAAGTAGTTTGAAAGAATCTCGGAGATTTCTTGTCATGTTTTTGAAGTAGTTTGAAGGAATTTCGGGCACCCCTGATGATTTATTTTTAAAGTATGTAGAAATCTCAGGTACCAATTGCGATTTGTTTTCGAAATATTTTTAAAGAATCACGGGAATATCTTGTCATGTTTTTGAAGTAATTTGAAAAAATCCCTAGGATTTTTTGTCATGTTTTTGGAGTAGTTTGAAACAATCCCGGGCGCCCCTTCTGATTTAATTTTAAAGTAGGTAGAAATCTCAGGTACCAATTGCGGTTTGTTTTCGAAATATTTTTAAAGAATCACGGGAATAACTTGTCATGTTTTTGAAGTAGTTTGAAAAAATCCCAAGGATTTCTTGTCATGTATTTGAAGTACTTTGAAAGAATCTCAAAGACTAATTTTCGAAATTAGCCTGAAAGAATCTCGGGAATCTATTATAATGTTTTTGAAGTAGTTTGTAGGAATCTCCGGGACCAATTGTGTTTTGTTTTCGAAATTAGCCTAAAAGAATCTTGGGGATCTCTTTTCTTGTTTTTTAAGTAGTTTGAAAGAATCTCGGGGATTTCTTGTCATGTTTTTGAAGTAGTTTGAAAGCATCTTGGAGATCCTTTGTCTTGTTTTTGAAGTTACTCAAAAGAATCTCGGGGATTTCTGATCATGTTTTTGACGTAATTTGAAAGAATCCAATAATTGTGGTTTGTTTTCTAAATACTTTGAAAGAATCTCGGGGATTTATTGTCATGTTTTTGAAGTATTTGAAAGAATCTCGGGCACCCCTTGTGATTTATTTTTGAAGTAGGTTGCAGGAATTTCAGGGACCAATTGTGATTTGTTTTCGAAATAGTTTGAAAGAATCACGGAAATATCTAGTCAGTTTTTGAAGTAGTTTAAAAGAATCTCGGGGATTTATTGTCATGTTTTTGAAGTAGTTTGAACAAATCTCGGTAATTTCTTCTCATGTTTTTAAAGTAGTTTAAAAGAATTTTGGGGATTTCTTGTTATGTTGTTGAAGTAGTTTGAAAAAATCTCGGACACCCCTTGTGATTTATTTTGGAAGTAGGTTGTAGGAATCTCAGGGACCAATTGTGGTTTGTTTTCGATATACTTTGAAAGAATCACGGGAATCTCTTGCCATGAATTTAAAGTAGTTTGAAAAAATCTCAGGAATCTTTTGTCATGTTTTTGAAGTAGTTTAAAAAAATTACGCGGATTTCTTGGTATGTTTTTGAAGTAGTCTGAAAGAATCTCAGAGATCAATTATGGTTCGTTCTCGAAATAGTTTGAAAGATTCGAATCTCGGGGATTTATTGCGAGTTTTTGAAGTACTTTGAAAGAATCTCGGGCACCACTTGTGATTTATTTTTAAAGAAGGTAGAAACCTCAGGTACCAATTGCGGTTTGTTTTCGAAATAGTTTTAAAGAATCATGAGAATCTCTTGTCATTTTTTTGAAGTAGTTTGAAAAATTCTCAAGAATTTATTATCATGTTTTTGAAGTAGTTTGAAAGAATCTCAATGACTAATTTTGTTTTTTTTTCGAAATAGGTTGAAAGAATCTCGGAAATCTCTTGTTATGTTTTTGAAGTAGTTGTAAGAATCTCAGGGATTTCTTGTACCATGTTTTTGAAGTAGTGTGAAAGAATGTCGGGAACCAGTGTGATTTATTTTTGAAGTAGGTTGTAGGAATTTCAGGGATTAATTGTGATTTATTTTCGAAATAGGGAGTTCGGAAATTTCTTGTCATGTTTTTGAAGTAGTTTGAAGAAATCTCGGTAATTTATTGTCATGTTTTGAAGTAGTTTGAAAGAATCTCGGGGATTTCTTGTCATGTTTTTGAAGTAGTTTGAAAGAATCTCGGGCACCCCTTGTGATTTATTTTTGAAGTAGGTTGTAGGAATCTCAGAGACCACTTGTGATTTGTTTTCGAAATAATTTTAAAGAATCATGAGAATCTCTTGTCATTTTTTTGAAGTAGTTTGAAAAAATCTCAAGAATTTATTGTCATGTTTTTGAAGTAGTTTGAAAGAATCTCAATGACTAATTTTGTTTTTTTTTCGAAATAGGTCGAAAGAATCTCGGAAATCTCTTGTTATGTTTTTGAAGTAGTTTGTAAGAATCTCAGGGATCTTGTATCATGTTTTTGAAGTAGTGTGAAAGAATGTCGGGGACCACTTGTGATTTATTTTTGAAGTAGGTTATAGGAATTTCAGGGATTAATTGTGATTTATTTTCGAAACAGGGAGTTCGGAAATTTCTTGTCATGTTTTTGAAGTAGTTTGAAGAAATCTCGGTAATTTATTGTCATGTTTTGAAGTAGTTTGAAAGAATCTCAATGACTAATTTTGTTTTTTTTTTCGAAATAGGTTGAAAGAATCTCGGAAATCTCTTGTTATGTTTTTGAAGTAGTTGTAAGAATCTCAGGGATTTCTTGTACCATGGTTTTGAAGTAGTGTGAAAGAATGTCGGGGACCACTTGTGACTTATTTTTGAAGTAGGTTGTAGGTTGTAGGAATTTCAGGGATTAATTGTGATTTATTTTCGAAATAGGGAGTTCGGAAATTTCTTGTCATGTTTTTGAAGTAGTTTGAAGAAATCTCGGTAATTTATTGTCATGTTTTTGAAGTAGTTTGAAAGAATCTCGGGCACCCCTTGTGATTTATTTTTGAAGTAGGTTGTAGGAATCTCAGAGACCACTTGTGGTTTGTTTTCGAAATAATTTTAAAGAATCACGGGAATCTCTTCATGTTTTTAAAGTAGTTTGAAAGAATCTCGGAAGTCTCTTGTCATGTTTTTGAAGTAGTTTGAAAGAATCTCAGAGACCAATTGTGGTTTGTTTTCGAAATAGTTTGAAAGAATCTCGGGAATCGCTTGTCATGTTCTTGAAGTAGTTTGAAAAAATCACGGGGATTTCTTCGCATGTTTTTGAAGTAGTTTGAAAGAATATCAGGGATCAATTGTGGCTTGTTTTCGAAATTATTTGAAAGAATCTCGAGAATTTCTTTGAAGTAGTTTGAAAGAATCTCGGAGATTTCTTGTCATGTTGTTGAAGTAGTTTGAAACAATCTCGGGCACCCCTTGTGATTTATTTTTGAAGTAAGTTGTAGGAATTTCAGTGACCAATTGTGGTTTGTTTTCTAAATAACCTGAAAGAATCACGGGAATATCTTGTCATGTTTTTGAAGAAGTTTGAAAGAATTTCGGGGATTTTTTGTTATGTTGTTGAAGTAGTTTGAAAGAATCACGGGCGCCTCTTCTGATTTGTTTTTAAAGTAGGTTGTAGGAATCTCAGGGATCAATTTTGGTTTGTTTTCGAAATAGGTTGAAAGAATCACGGGAATCTCTTGTAATGTTTTTGAAGTAGTTTGAAAATATCTCACGGATTTCTTGTCATGTTTTTGAAGTAGTTTTTAAGAATATTAGGGATCCATTGTGATTTGTTTTCGAAATAGTTTGAAAGAATCTCGGGAATCTCTTGTCACGTTTTTAAATTAGTTCGAAAGAGTCTCGGAGATTTCTTGTCATGTTCTTGAAGTAGTTTGAAACAATGTCGGGCATCCCTTGCGATTTATTTTTAAAGTAGGTAGGAATCTCAGGTACCAATTGCGGTTTGTTTTCGAAATAGTTTTAAAGAATAACAGGAATCTCTTGTCATGTTTTTGAAGTGGTTTGAAAAAATTTCAAGAATTTCTTGTCATGTTTTTGAAGTAGTTTGAAAGAATCTCAAGGACTAATTTTGGTTTTTTTTCGAAATATTTAGTTTGAAAGAATCTCGGAAATCTCTTGTCATGTTTTTGAAGTAGTTTGAAAGAATCTCGGGGGTTTCTTGTGTTTGGTTTTTGAACTAGTTTAAAAGAATCTCGGGCATCCCTTGTGATTTATTTTTGAAGTAAGTTGTAGAAATCTCATAGACCACTTGTGGTTTGTTTTCGAAATAATTTTAAAGAATCACGAGAATCTCTTGATATGTTTTTGAAGTAGTTTAAGATAATCTCAGGGGCCCATTGGGTTTTGTTTTTGAAGAAGTTTAAAAGAATCTCAGGGACCAATTGCGGTTTGTTTTCGAAATAATTTGAAAGAATCTCGAGGATCTCTTGTCTTGTTTTTGAAGTAATTCGAAAGAATCTCGGGAATTTCTTATTTTGTTTTTGAAGTATGTTGAAAGAATCTCGGGGATTTCTTGGTATATTTTTGAAGTAGTTTGAAAGAATCTCAAAGAGCAATTGTGGTTTGTTTTCGAAATAGTTTGAAAGAATCTCGGGGAACTCTTTTCATGTTTTTTAAATAGTTTGAAAGAATCTCGGGGATTTTTTGTCATGTTTTTTAAGTGGTTTCAAAGAATTTCAGGGATCAATTGTGGTTTGTTTTCGAAGTAGTTTGGAAGAATCTCGGGCAACCTGTGTGATTTATTTTTAAAGTAGGTAGGAATCTCAGGTATCAATTGAGGTTTGTTTTCGAAATAGGTTGAAAGAATCTTGGGAATCTCTTGTCATGTTTTTGAAGGAGTTTGAAAGAATCTCGGGCACCCCTTTGATTTATTTTTGAAATAGGTTGTAGGAATCTCAAGAACCAATTGTGGTTTGCTTTCGAAATAATTTTAAAGAATCACGGGAATCTCTTGATATATTTTTGAAGTAGTTTAAAAGAATCTCAGGGGCCCATTGTGTTTTGTTTTTGAAGTAGTTTAAAAGAACCTCAGGGACCAATTACGGTTTGTTTTCGAAATAGTTTGAAAGAATCCCGGGGATCTCTTGTTACGTTTTTGAAATATGTAGTGTCAACTTGTCTTGTTTTTGAAGTAATTTTAAAGAATCTCGGGGATTTCTTATTTTGTTGCTGAAGTAATCTGAAAAAGTCTTGTCTTGTTTTTGAAGTAGTGTGAAAGAATCTCGGAATCTCTTGTCTTATTTTTGAAGTCATTTGAAAGCATCTGGGGGTTATCCCTTGTCTCGTTTTTGAGGTAATTTGCGCCTTATAGCCTTAAATTTTACTTTATTTAGAATTATATAAAAATTGGATTCGGGCACCGGCGCTCTGGTATACCACGGGTACTCTGGCAAATTCCCGACTTCTAGATGGCTTCATCCGTCCCTAGCTTTACCATGAACCAGAACCATTCGAAATTGTCTTAAGGTACTTAATTGAAGAATCAGGGCTATGTCCAAGCTCTTTTACGTTTCGATTTCTTACCTTCTTCTTTGTTTTCTTCAGGTCTCACTTTCTAAATATATTATCAATTGATGAAAAAGGCATTACTAGATTCTGTGGTGTGCCAGTTACGGTTTACACCAGACTACTTTCGAGTAAGAAGTTATCTGGCTGTAAAAATTAACAAGAATGACAATGTGAAGAGTGAATGGTATATAAATGGGATGATGGATGGATGTGTGTTTGAAAGAAATCGAGAATGTCTAAGTAAGAAAGACATTTATGTTATATAAATGTATTCACAAGACAATACACATATTAATTTGTTTCTTAATACTAAACTAAAAAATCTATAACTAGAAATACAAATGATTTTGTTCTTTCATCAAAGACATATTAGTGAGCGGGTACTTCCATGTGATATGAATTGATCAATATTGCTTCATTAAACTAATGGTAGTCGTCATGATAGTCAATTTTACAAGATGAGCGAAATTAAAGATGAAAGAACCCCCTCAGTGGCAATATGTACAGTATTTAGGATTGCTTTTCGGTCTTCAATTTAATAAATATTCACTAAAAAATTGTGTAAAAATATATGTACAATGTAATAATATTTTTTTGGGTAATGGAATGATTTTGTTAAAGAACCTTTCTGTGCGAGACGGTACGCTTTGGGAAGTTATTGCACGATAGAAGTGAAGAGAAGCTGTCAAGTGGACGAAGTCTGGATGAAGATTTGGCTGAAGATGCACAAAAAGATTTTTAGCAAAACCACAAGTCAAAAAAGCCCTACAAGTTAAAAGATGCTATGCTATTTTTTACATAAAAAACCGTGGCTGCCTATACTGGCCTGGAAGAAAGGTTTTCATCGAATAAATAATAAATTACGAATTTTTTAATAACTAGCTTAAAATATTTGGCATCATTTTGTTTTTTCTCTTTATTATCGTTAACATAATTATAAAATTATTTTTTTTTTAGGATCAAGTTGACTGATGACTAACACTATACAATAATTTATTTTGTAGGCATGTTAAGAACACTATAAATATTCTTTCTTTATGTCAAAAATATATTTCCAACACTACAAAGAATAAATCCTATATCGTAAAATGCACACAGCATTACGTTAGCACACCTGAATTAGAATCGAACCGAGGTGCTACTCAATCTATTATACAAATTTTTCACAATATAAAGAATTTGTTCATCTTCAATACCATGTTCACGTGTGTGGGCAAAAATATATATCTTTAACGTGAAGCAAGGTTACAAAAGGCAAAACTCCGGAACCGCCGTTCCAAATAAATCTCTATTCACAAACATGAAAACAACATTTAGGGATTACTAAAGATGCTTTTCATTCACTCTCTTCGGCTTTGATTCGTGTGCAAAACGCGTGGACCAACAATACCTACACACATCATACGGGGGGACAAAACCTACGACTCGGTCACAAACTAAACCCTAAATATATAAACAAATCCGCACTTAAAGTATGGCAGTCGTATCATCACTAAAACAACAATTTACAGGATAAATATAAATTAACTAAGAATAAATTAATAAAATCATATAAAAATGCGAACATTCGATTGTTTGTAGAACGGAATACTATATTTGTACTTGTGGGAAATTTACACTCGACTTTTGAGATCATAGAGGCACTGTTAACTTGAATTTAGTCATAAACTTAAAACCCGGTCAAAATCTCATACCTCCAAACGTCATCTTTCCATAGGGACCTGTAACTATGCAAGGGTACATCGGAAAGAGGGTCGTCAGACTCATCGTCGTCAGCGTGGGCGACCTGATCATCACCTCCGCGGGACACCAATACCCCGCGTCCACGTCCACCTTCTCGATCTTCATCTTCTCGATATACTCGTCCCACCCGTGCCGCGTCTTGTTCAAATTCCTGTGCTGGTAGAAAACCAGCGAGATCCTCGTCGGATTCTTCCTGTTCGGCTTCTTCAGCGCCGTCGTCGCGTGCAACTCGTGCCTGGCGCACTCGAACAGCACGCTCCCGTGCTCCAGCGCGATCGCGACCCCTCCCATGTTCGAATCCCTGAAGCAGTCCGTGTTGTCGCTGAAGGTTTGTACTTGATTCAGTTTCGATGATGACAACAAGTTCTCTACTTTTGTACTAAACGCGTAACTGTCGTCGAATGGATTGCAGACGTTGTAATATGGCAGGTTTGAGAATCCTGAAGAGTAACAGCCGTTGGCTTCATTTGGAGGTATCTTGTAATCACAAGGTTGTTGCTGGCCGTCGTTGAACAGCTTCTTCTTGGCGTTGTTCAACTGGTTCACGTAGTACGGGTCGGAATACTGATACAGACTCCCATTGACTAAATAATTATTGGAACTGAACGGAAAGTAAGGATAATTGTTGGTGTAGCCCCAGTTTACTTCGTTCGGTGGCGTGTCGAAGACCGTGCTCGTTATCTGGTGGTTCTGGATCTGGTCCGGAGGCGTGGACGAAACGCTCTCGTCCTTGCGCTTCTTGGTGCGTTTGCAAGGCGGCGTGGGGTTCGGGTTGGCTCTGATCTCCGTCTCGTATCTGCAAAACATCAAACTTTATCGAACGACCACCCAAAACACCGAGCGCTTACTTGTTCAACACCTCGATGCTCCCCATCCTGATCTTCTCGTCTTGGCTCTCCTTCGAGTCGAACTCGTCGGTGTTGTCCACCACGTACAGCGGCAGCACGTGCAGCTGCTCGTCCTCCGGCTTCTGCAGCTTCCTGTGCTTCGTCAACGTCACCACCACCGTACACCCGTTCACCATATTGTGCGAATCCTTGTGGGAATGAGCGCAGAAATCCAAGCAAGCCGTCACCCCCGAGAAGGGTCTACCAGGCCTAAGGCCCAATCTACAATCCGCGGCGATATGTTCATAGAAACACTGATTGTGGAAGGACTGCGGCGCTAAACATCGATAAATCGGGCTGAGGTGCGAAGCGAGCCGTTGCAACTTCTCCTCGATCACTTGCTCCTCGGACTGGACGCTCAGCCGGAACTTGCGCACCATCTTCGACCTGGTGAACTTGCAGCCGTTGTAGTACATGGACCACGAGCAGCCGAAGGAGAAGCTCGCACCGCAGTTGTCGGGATCGAGCCCTTGGCAGGCGCAGCTCTTGAGCTCGTTGGTTCCGCAGCGCCGCTTCGTGGCGATCCCGAACTTGGTGAGCTTGTCGGTGAGGAGGGAGTAGAGGTCGTCGGCGGTGGGCTGCTGGACGCCGTCCCACATCACGATGCAGACCACGATGAAAGCGGAACGGCAGAAATGGCCGGTGCGGTGTTTCACGATTATCAGATACTTCTCGTGCACGCCGGATCTTCGGATTATCTAAACGAGAATCGGTGAGGAAGGAGGCGGCGGCGTGGGGCAGTTTGCGGCAGATCGATCACCGAAGAGGGACCAGAGGGAGCTAAGGGCCGATTTTTAATCCTAAATGCGACGTTTCGGGCACCGGGCGAGATTTTATCGGTTTGTTTCGCTTTCGAAGCGGTACGGGCTTTCCCATGACGGTGAGACGCCATACATTATTGAGCGGAAATCGTCGCAAGAATAAAACCCAAATGGGAGAAATATTTAGGGTCCCAACTAAAAGAGGCAAGACCAAGTCGGTATTACAGACGGCATAGCATCCGTTTTTGGATGAAAGACAATCAAAAGGTTACAGGACTGCGTCCCTGGAAGGGCAGTTCTGGGAACTAAAACCCGGCTTGTCAAATAGGGGACCAACAATTTTCGGTCCAAATCTTTTTTACAGAAAGTATAGCATCCTTTTTTGGAAGAAACGCAAGGAAAAGGACAATTCTCGGAAGTAAAACCTGGCTTGTTAAATAGGAGCCAAGTCGGGACGACAATTTGTTCTGGAGGTGCGACTTCACCGATCGATCTGCATGGGCCGGCCCGGGACTTACCCATTTGGCGATGGGGCATCCCTGCGCCGTTTTCCCCTCCTTTCCCGTGTATCGTATTTTTTCGATGCGGATCGCTCGTCCGGTGACTCCGGTTCGGTTCTCCAAGTCGTGTCGTAAGTTGATCAGATTGTCCGAGCAGCCTGCAAGTCTCCGTGAGTTTGTGCGACCAGAAAGTACCGCCTTACCTAAATGCGTGTAGTACGTTCCGGGTTCGGCCGGGAGTTGTTCCAGGTGGTTGAAGCAGTTGCATCTGGGTATTTCCGTCTCGCTGATTTTATTAGGACTAGGATTATCGTGTTTTGGTTTGGGAACAGGCTTTGGTTTGGGTTTGGACTGAATCCGGGGAGTGAAGCCACCACCATCGTTCACTTTATCGAAACGATGATGGTGGCTATACCATAAAAAATGACCGGTGGCATTTTGTTGCTCCGCCTTCTTCTCGTCCGCGCTCTCCTCCACTTGCTGCTTGCTTAATATCATCGTCTTGATGCGCGTGTTCAAGTTTACCCTGTCTGCTTGCGAGAACTCGCTTTGTGCCTCGTGCTGCGCCTTGCTTTCGAACTGCTCGAACTGCTCCTTCATCTCCCCTCGCTCCCACATCATCCCATCTCCCCACATTTGATTCTGACTAGCTCCGCTGTATTGTCCGCTGCCTGGGTATCCACTAGAGCTGTGTGAAACTAGCTGCGGGCTGCTGTTCACTTGTGGATACCCAGGCTTGGCGTTTCCCGAACTCACGTTCACGTAGTTGGGCGAGTTGGGGCTGAAGGCCGCCGAAGACACCGCCGTGAAGCCGGCGCCGCCCTGGCCGAACTGGTTGTTTTGATTGTTCGCCGGGTTGCTGATGGTGCTGTTGACGGAGCTCGGCCGGGACACGCTCTCGGCGTTCCCGGACGGCGTGGTGGCGGGCGAGACGAAGTTTTGATTCTGCTGGTACTCGGAGTACTGCCGGCCGGAGGCGGACTGCGCGGGCGGCGCCGGGCTCGGCGTGTGCGAGTAGTTGGAGTTGGGACGCGGCGTCAACTGCCCGGCCTGGCTAGGCGCACTAGGGGGCCGCGCGTTGGTGAGCACCTGCACGGCGCCGGTGTAGAAGGTGTTGGTTTCGAACGCGGGCTGCTGGTACGTCGTCTGGTAGATGCCGTTGGGGTACTGCTGGTAGCCCTCGGCGGGGATCTGCTGGATGAACTGACCCTGTGGCCACGCTGCTGCAAAAAGAAAACAATAATTAACGATTTCGTCTAATACTAATAGTAGATTGTCAGCCTCAATGGGATGATGATGGAACATGAGGTCGGGTTGAGTCAGGTTAGGTCAGGACAGGTTAGGTTAAGTCAGGTCAAGTTCAATCAGGTTAGGACAGGTTAGGTCACGTCAGTAAAGTTTTAGAATTTTTATAAAACGTAGAGACAGTTCTCAGCCTACATTCATTAATTTTTAACCTCAACTTAGAGAAATTGGATATAGTTTTTGAACAGGGTTAGGCAGTTTTATAAAAGATCCAAACTCTGTTATTTACTTCGTATTCTGAAAGAGGATACATACTTTCACTAACAATAACCAGGGTTTTTCTATTCACTATCGATGGACACTTTATATCGATAACAACGGCCACCTACTTTGAATATTTCTTTCATCTTTCTAAGCAGAGGTTTTAAAATACACTTAATTTGTCATTACTAAGGTCCAGATTCTACGCAAAATGCACACTACAAGCGTATTTAGCATATTTTGCCACTTTTTTCCATTTTTTTCATATTTCGAAGCAAAAACGCGTCTCCGATCGGACAGTAAAAATAATTTGGTTTTATTCGCTTAAGATAAGTCAAGACTAATATTTCTTTATTTAAAATCATAATGAGTGTTGAAAACCGTGCACATTTTTTAAAATGTATGCATATTTCTGAATTTGTGGGTGCATTTATATGCGCATATCTCAAAAAAATTGTGTGCATATAAATCCGTACTTGGTCATTATTTATCCGATGAAAGATAAGTTGGTTGCCTAATTTCACAAAATGTAGGGGAAAAGTGCCTAAAATGATCCCCTCAGGTCAAATGATTCCCATCAATTGTAAGAAAATTTGTGGCTCCATCTACCAAACATAACTGTCATTTGATTAAGCGCTCTGTAATTAGTAGCTTCTGAAAGTTTGATGGCGTTCTGTGTATTCTGCACAGTTTTGTGCCAAAATATGTAAAATAAGCACCTCTGATCTAAGGTAAGATATATTTCAAAAGTCCATTCTTCCATTTGAAAGGTCTTATAGCGGTGTAGTTGTTTTGACAGAATTAGATACATTTCAGTCGTAGGTTAGTTATGATCTTTTTACCGCATGTAAAAATTGAAGGTTAGTTTACAATTTTTGAATGCGGATATGCTACCTAAGGCGAAATGATCCCTTGTTCGTGAGGCAAAATGATCCCGGATCATTGGGCGGGGCTAGTACCTGCTAAGATAAGACTGATTTTTGCAAATCATATACCCTCTAAGAAAAGAGAGGGTGGGTGGGCGGGGCTAGTACCTGCTTAGATAAGACTGATTTTTGCAGATAACATATCCTCTAACCCCGCCCACCTACTCTTTATTTTCTTTGAGGGAATACCATTTGCCAATATCAGTTTTATCTTAGCAAGTACTAACCCCACCCATCCGCCAGTTATTTTCTTAGAATATATGTTATTTGCCAATATCAGCCTTATCTTGCCAAGCACTAGCTCGGCCCATCCGCCCTTTATCTTGTTAAAGGGCTAGTACCTAATAAGATAAGACTGATTTTCGCAAATGACATATCCTCCAAGAAAAGAGAGGGTGGGTGGGCGAGGCTACTACCTGCTAAGATAAGACTGATTTTTGCAGATGACATATCCTCTAAGCCCGCCCACCCACCCTTTAGTTTCTTCGAGGGAATACCATTTGCCAATACCAGTTTTATCTTAGCAGTTACTAGCCCCACCCACCTACTACCTGCTAAAATAAAACTGATTTTCGCAAATAAAATACCCTCTAAGAGAGGAGAGGGAGGGTGGGTGGAGCTAGTACCTCTTAAGACGGGGAAATTTAAATAATTTAAAAGAATTTTAGGGATTTTCGTGTTCTATTTTTGGGAAATTCTCAGTCTTAAGGGCCGGTTTATCAATGCTCAGTTAAAAGTGTCTCTTAAGTAACTGTCAGATAAGGGTAACTAGCAGTTAACGGAGGTAAAGTGTTTGTCAATGCACGATGTTTCTTCCAGTTTCGTAGCTCGAAGTTTAGCTGTTACTCTCTTAAGTTGGTAACGTTCACCCCACTGGAAATGAGTTGTGATTGGTCAGTTCAAAACTACCCCGACCTTGAAAGTTCCATCAGATTCGATCCGCATTCGGTATTCAACGATTGTATATCGCGTTTCACGTGATCAATCATGAAAAAGCAAAATTTAGCATTAGAAAAAAAGTATTGGAAATTAAAAATGAAACAAGTAGGTACACCTATAAATAAATACAGAGAGATCGAAAAAGAAATTAGTCAAAGTTGGCCATGCACAAAAAGGCGTTTGTCTTAGTTTAAAATATTTTTTTATTAATCGTCACGTTGACAAAAGTAATTGCACTGTTACCAAACGAAATTAAAGCTTTTTTGTTATTAGAATCTTCAGAAATGGGATAAATTTTAGACAAAATTGGAAAACGGTGATTTTAATTCATTCTTATGTGTTTTAAAAGTAGGCGTCTTAATGCTAATTTTAAACTGTCAATTTGACATTTAATAAAAAAAATTAAATTACCCTACCACCGTGATTACGACAAACGGCTTGTCGTGCATGGCCTACTTCGATTAATTTCTTTTTCGATCTCGCGGTATTATTAGATAGGTTTTTAATTTTTGGTACCTACATTAGACCTGGAAAATAATCAGCTAATAATAAGTGTTTTTCTCATCTTTTCTCTGTCAATTTGTTGCACAACATAAGTCCTCATCAAAATATTGTTAAATTCATAACAGATTTATTTGGATTTGTTAGGTTATGTTGCCACTAACTGGTGGATAACGCTTTAACTGACAGTTTGAACTGTCAGTTAATTTATCAGGCACTTTGACCACCAGTTTTGAGCTAGCGGGTAATGATAAACAGGTTAACTCACAGACAAGCTTTAACTGCCAGTTACTTTAACTTAACTGCGTATTGATAAACCGGCCCTAAGAGGTACTAATCCCACCCACCCACCCTCTCTTTTCTTAGAGGGTATATCATTTGCCAAATTCAGTTTTACCTTAGCAGTTAGTAGACCCGCCCACCCGCCCTCTCTTTTCTTAAAGGCTATATCATTTGCCAAATTCAGTCTTATCTTAGCACTTACTAACCCCACCCACCCACCCTCTTTTTTCTTAGAGTGTATGTCATTTGCCAAATTCAGTTTTATCTTAGCAGTTACTAGCCCCACCCACCCACCCTCTCTTTGCTTAGAGGGTATATCATTTGCCAAATTCAGTCTTAACCTAGCAGTTACTAGCCCCACCCACCCACCCTCTCTTTTCTTAGAGGGTATATCATTTGCCAAATTCAGTTTTATCTTAGCAGGTTGTAGGCCCGCCCACCCGCCCTCTCTTTTCTTGGAGGGTATCCCATTTGGCAAAATTAGTCTTATCTTAGCACGTATTGATGACTAAAGTATTGTCTCAAACTCTTCCAGAAATTATAAACCCCGTATTTTCGGTGCTTTTCAAACTTTTTTTGTTTATTTTTTTTAAGAATTTATTTTTTTGTTAATTTTTGAAATAAAATATTTATCAGTTATGTCATGATTTGATTTTTCTTGTTGATGCTGTCCCCTTATGGTCAAAATTCAAAGGGATCATTATGCCCATGCCGAGGGATCATTTTACCCTTGGGGATGCCTAAAATGATCCTTTTGTAAGGTCCTGGAAAAGCGTTAATAACTTTTTTTATATTTATCGAATCACCAATTCGCTTATACTGTTACCTAGATAAATCAATGTTCTTACAAATAATGCTACAGTTTTACAAGAATAATAATAATTTGTATTTGTTAAAGAATTTTTCCCTTAGGGGGATCATTTTAGGCACCTTTCCCCTACTATTTAAATTGACTTGCTTTAACAATAATAAAAAGATGATAGTTTAACAAAAAAATAAAGACATCTTCTGATAACACGTTATAGTTTTGTCTTAAGAAAGTCGTTTTTCGGTTTTTGTTAATTTATTTTTTTAGTGATTTTTTTTCTTTTGATATAAAAGTAACTCTTTAAGTGTTGTCATAAGGATAAAACTGGAATGTTGTTTTGCCTTATTTTGGCATCTTTCAGCGCGCGTAAGTAGATGCCTTAAGGTAAAGCACGTTACGTCATCAATGGCATTCCAAGAGGTCGGGATATTTGGGTCTCGTCCCTACTCACCCTGCGTGGGGTCGGCCTGCCAGACGGGCGTGGGGAACCTGTTGGGGTCCGCATAGAAAGGCATCGGAGTCTGCAAAAAGAATAATAAGGTGAAGGGCGGCGGCGTAAATATCGGAAGCAACAAGTCCTCCGTTTTGGGAGAAAATGGCGAAATTGTTGTTGTGATGTCGAGACGGGAGTATTGAGGCGTATATTTGGTTGTCTATCCCGGAGGGGTGCCTCCGTCTTGTCTGCATCAACCTTGCTCCGTTTGCGCCCCAATAAAGAGGGAATTTTGTGTAATCCACCCGGAGCGGGATCAGATATACCGCCCCCGCCGTTGAGGCAGGTCAGTGCGGCGTCACCCTCCCCGAATGGTCTTAAATCAATTCCCTTTCTGTCCTCTCGACACAACATTTGCCTTCACGAACGTTACCCTACGTACCATTGGTGATTGTTGCTGGACGGGTAGCGCTTGTTGTTCGGGTTTCAGCATGTGCACGGCGCCCGCCGCCGCCGGCTGGGGGCTGGGCCGGGCCACGGGCTGCTGCTGGTTCGAGATGATGGTAACGTTACCATTGGGTTCCGTCGGGACGACGCTGGGCGGGCCGGAAGGCACCGACGAGATGGGGCCGCTGGGCTTCCTTCCACGGTAACTCTGCAAACAAAACCACCCATATACATCTACACAGACACGCTTAACTCCGTTATCACTACGACCCGTGTGTTCCGAAATATCGCCATAAAAGCAAAATGGAGACTCAACGCAAACCACTATCAACAGTATCAACACAACTTAATTTAATTTATTCAGTGCATTTCTTACCATTTCGGGTTAAATTCCAAACGCAAAACGTCAAAACGGGTGTTATTTTTGGGTCTGCACTGTACGCGGTCGCTCAAAACGCTCAAATTTGGCGACGTTTCAGTTGCAATGTAATCTTCAAGAAACAAACAACGATAAGGAAATAGGAAATCAATCGGACGCTAGCGAAGCCTCCGACCAACTGGGTCAGGTACCTGCGAGACCTTGGGTACCATCCCATCCAAAAATCCCATACTCATCGCGCGCTTATAGATTTATCGATTCCCAGAGCGTGTTTACTACACGTATCGCTTGTACTCGGCACGTTTACAACCAGATAAGACCCACTCGAGCCCGACCAAAACAACATACTTACGTCCATCGCTCTCTCCAGACCTGAACCTCGTCGACACGTTATGTAATTTTCATGAATGAAACCTAGCGACTTGGTGTCTTAGGTGGTCGCTGCGAATCGAAAAATTCCGAAAAAAATACGCACTATACACAAATAGCCCCTACATTGACTAAACCCAAACCTCCTGCCTAGCCCCTCCCACAACGCCTTATGTAACGATTAAGGTAGGCCCCGAAACCTAGCGCTCCACTTGTTTTTTCACGTGGCACGCCAATCACGCACTTCTGTGCTTGAACCGTCGGCGGAGCACACCGACGGGGGCCGACCTTTGACGAGGCGAGGTTGTTATCGCGTTATCACGGCACATACGCACGGCTCGCTCGATTTTCATTATTTACAAAGCAATTAAAATGATATATTGTCGAATATGGAGCATTTTCATATTTCGTCGATAGCGGAAAGTCGGCCATCGGAAGTGCGGGCAGTGGCGTGCGGAGGGGGCGGCCCGAAAAAATCGAAAAATCCATATTTCGGGGAATTTCGCTTTGAGGGAAAGTGACGGGATGACGAAAGCGAGTTTCCGGAAGTTGGAAGAGACGCTCGCGTGACCAATATAACGGCGATTACGTGGGAGGGAAGCCCTTAGCCCTTAGGACAAGGTGGATGCACGTCTGCGAGGCGGGTTAATGCCGCAAATGATTACGGGGTCGGTGCGACGACATATATCGACTGAGGGAATAATAGATGCCGATTGGGGGAGGGGGCGCGGAGAGAGACATTTTCAATTTACAGGACGCCGACCAAGGGGGCGGTTTTTAAGTTTATCGCGAACTTATTGTTGGTTTCTTTGACGGTTGCGTCAAAGTAGATAAAATAGATGCGTGACGTCATTGCGATTGACAAGTTGAAAAAATGTTTTTACGATTTAAAAGCGCCATTGCTTCGATAGTGACGCCGATAAACTTCAAGGCGAGGAACGTTATCACACAGTTCGTGGAAAAACAAAGAATCACCGGTAAGTCCAGACGTGGACTAACTTATTACGACTAAAGAAAACGACGGGTTTTATTTTAGGCACGAAATTTACGGAGTCGACCCTGTGGAACGATCGCACAACTTTCAAGGATTTGTTTTAATGTTGGTAGATATCTAAAACATGTGCGAAAAGTTATCGTTTAAAAGTCTGACAGTTGGGAATACTGGCGACAGTTGTCTATGACACGAAGGGACTAACAGAAGTAACCATGAGAGAGCGGCAAATCAATAGAATTGAACGACTCATGACTCCGGATTAGAGATAGGATTTGTGTCGATTTATAAGAGAAAAAAACTTATTTACAGTGATGTAACATACAGGGACTAAATATTCCACGCTTTTATTTCCAGATTTATGTGACAACTAGATCTAGACATATATGCAGTGACGTACATCAAGACTTGCAAATTTTTATTCTACGCACACTATTTCTATAACACTCTAACAAGAACAGATAGGTACAGCTTTATACGGTTTTGTTCAGCGTTTGACAACCAACAAATATCGAAAAAGAGTTATGTGCTTATAATTTTATAGATTCGGGGCTTTGACGCTTTAAACTTTATGTTGCAAAATTTTATTAGTATACAAAAATAATATAGTTGCATAGTTTCTATTTAATGATTTAAAATACAATTGACGAGTCCTACGATCATAAATAATCTAAGGCTGAGATCCTTTCAAACTACTTCAAAAACCACACACAAGAAGTCCCCAGATCTTTTCAAACCGGTTCAAAAATAAAACAAAAGTGGTCCCTGAGATTCTTTCAAATCAGTTCAAAACCAAACACAAAGGAGCTCCGAGATTCTTCAAACTACTTCAAAAACAAAACAAAAGTGGTCCCTGAGATTCTTTCAAACTACTTCAATAACAAAACACATGGGCGCCCCGAGATTCTTTCAAACTACTTCAAAAACCCAACACAAAGGTGCCCCGAGATTCTTTCAACCACTTCAAAAAACAAACACAAAGGAACCCCGAGATTCTTTCAAACTACTTCAAAAATCAAACACAAGGGCGCCCCGAGATTCTTTCAACCACTTCAAAAACCAAACACAAAGGAACCCCGAGATTCTTTCAAACTACTTCAAAAACCAAACTCAAGCGCGCCCCGAGATTTTTTAAACTACTTCAAAACCAAAACAAAAGGGATCCCCGAGATACTTTTAACCACTTCAAAACCAAACGCAAAAGAGCCCCGAGATTCTTTCCAACAACTTCAAAAACCAAACACAAGGACGCCCCGAGCTTCTTTCAAACTACTTCAAAAACAAAACAAAAGGAATCCCCGAGATTCTTTCAAACTACTTCAAAAACCAAACTCAAGGGCGCCCCGAGATTTTTTTCGAACTACTTCAAAAACAAACAAAAGGGATCCTCGAGATTCTTTTAAACTACTTCAAAAACCAAACACAAAGGAGCTCCGAGATTCTTTCAACTGGTTCAAAAACAAAACAAAAGTGGTCCCTGAGATTCTTTCAAATTACTTCAAAAACGAAATAAAAGGGATCCCCGAGATTTTTTTAGCCTACTTCAAAAACAAAACAAAAAGGATCCCCGAGATTCTTTTAAGTACTTCAAAAACCAAACACAAAGGAGCCTCGAGATTCTTTCAAACTAATTCAAAAGCAAAACAAATGGAGTCGCCCAGATTCTTTCAAATTACTTCAAAAACAAGATATCAAGCTCAGGGGAGTATGGGACCTCCTGGATATCAGAAATTTTCCAGAGGCACCAGTAGCCGTGATATCCAAATCCAAATTTTATATAATTTTTCCCGGACTTTCAAATACTTTAAACACGAGAGAAGAGATAATCGAAATTCTTTTAAACTATTTAAAAAACAAAAAGCAAGAGGTTCCCGAGAATCTTTTAAATTAACAGGACAAGGAATTCCTAAGATTCTTTTTCAAATTACTTGAAAAACTGGGCACAAGGGGTCTCCCAGACTCTTTAAAATTACTTCAAATATAAGACAAAATATCCCCTAGATTCTTTCAAACTATTTCAAAAATATGACAAGAAATCCCCTAGATTCTTTCAAATTACTTCAAGAACAAAATAAGAAATCCCTGAAATTCTTTCAAACTACTTAAAAAGCAAGAAAAGAGATCCCAAAATTACTTCAAAAACAAAACAAAAGGGATCCCCGAGGTTCTTTCAATTTACTTCAAAAACCAAACAAATGAGGCCCCCGAGATTCTTTCGTTACTACTTCAAAAATAAAACAGCGGAATTCTTTCAAATTACTTCAAAAATAAGATATCCAGCGCAGGGACGTATGGGACCAATAGCCGTGATATCCAATTCCAAATTTAGATACCTACTTTTAAATGAAGTAAAATTTAAGCCTTTCAGGTGCCGGTCCAATTTTGTCAGGGCTTTCAAATACTTCAAAAACGGGACAAGAGATAATCGAAATTCTTTCAAAGTATTTAAAAAACGAAAGGCAAGAGGATCCCGAGAGTCTTTTAAATTACTTCAAAAACAAGAAAAGAAATCCCCAAGATTCTTTAAAATGACTTTAAAGACCGGGCACAAGAGGTCTCCGAGATTCTTTAAAATTACTTCAAAAACCAGACAAGATATTCCTTAGATTGTTTCAAACTACTTGAAAAACATGACATGAAATCCCCTAGAATCTTTGAAATTACTTCAAAAACAAAATAAGAAATCCCCGAGATTCTTTCAAATTACTTCAAAAACAAGATATCAAGCGCAGGGGAGTATGGGACCATCTGGATATTGGAAATTTTCCAGGGACACCAATATCCATATCCAAACTTTATATACATATTTTTAAATGAAGTAAAATTTAAGCCTTTCAAGTGCTAGTCCAATTTTTCCTGGGCCTTCAAATATTTCAAAAACGAGTCAAGAGATAATCGAAATTCTTTCAAACTATTTAAAAAACAAAAGGCAAGAGCTTCCCGAGATTCTTTCAAACTACTTCAAAAACAAAATGAGAAATCCTCGAGATTCTTTCCAATTACTTCAAAAACAAGATAAGGGATCTCCGAGATTCTTTCAAACTACTTCAAAACATGATAAGAGATTCCCGAGGTTCTTTCAAACTACTTCAAAAACAGAATATAGCGCAATTCTTTCAAATTACTTCAAAAACAAGATATCCGGCGAAGGGGAGTATGGAACCATCTGGATAACGGAAATTTTTCAGGAACACCAGTACCCGTGATATCCAAATCCAAATTTTATATACTTTTAGATGAAGTAAAATTTAAGCCTTTCAGGTGCCGATCCAGTTTTGTCTGGGCTTTCAAATACTTTAAAAACGAGACAAGAAATAATCGAAATTCTTTCAAACTATTTAAAAAACAAAAGGCGGGAGGTTCCCTAGATTCTTTCAAAATAGTTTAAAAACCCGGCGCAAGAGGTCTCCGAGATTCTTTAAAATTACTTCAAAAACAAAATAAGAATTCCCCGAGATTCTTTCGAATT